TGTATTTTGAGTATATTAAGTAAATTTTAAATATATTAAGTATATTTTGAATATATTAAGTATATTTTGAGTTCAGAATATTATTTTATGTTTTAAATTAGAAAAATCTTTAATAACCAGCTTTATTTTTAAACGTGTGTGTGTTGGTGCATCTGTGCATGCACAATTGTAAGGTGTGTGCCTGTGTGTGTGTGTGCACATATTTGCTTGTCCCCATGTGTGTATCAGTTAATAATTGCTCCTCATAGAATATATGTAGGTTTATTTTAACGCTTGATTGAATGTTACATTCAGATAAGTAATTATATATATATATAAATATTAGCTTTTTGGTTGTTCTAGCTATGTTTTTTGTTTATTAATTTTGTTTTATTGACATTACTCATAAAATTTAAAACAGTTCAGAGATTTGTCTGAGCAGCAGTGTACTGTATTGTTCAGTATTTTACTGTCAGCAGTCAATCAGGTGCCATCTTCGCAGTGAAGGTTGACACCAATGGATCTCCAACACTCTCTGTCTCTTACCCTGGTATTACACTCTTATACAACTATCCTTTAATCGCATGTTATTATCCTCCCACTTGTATCACTGTCTACCTCTTGCTAGCCTTCCTTCACTTCCTTCCAGTATGGTTCTTAAAAGAGTGCTGTCTGTTAGTGTGGTTAAAATATTAATCACTGGATATCCATTCTGATTGCATGTTCAATGTACAGGTTTCTGTGGCATATAGTAGAGCTGATTATAAATAACATTTGATAATTCTAATCGTTATCTCTGTAGATGTGAATGTTCTTCTTAAGGTGAAATTATTGTTGTCGATTCTTATTCTCTTTTTGATTTTTATTTCACATCTTTACGCATCTGTTATTAAATGTCTGTGATAGGAACAGATCCCTTTTTTACAATTTCAAAGACTTGATCAATCCTTGAAAAGTAGGATTGTTTACCAATAACAGCAACAACAATAATAACTACAACAACAACATAATCAGTGTTATGTTGGAGACAGACTCAGGAGGAGATCGGAGCACTTATGGTCATGTCTGATGTGCGATGATGATGATCTCAAAAATGTGCAATGAACAGCAACAAAATACTTTCTTTGTGCCAAACTAGATTGCTTTTTTTTTTCACACAAAATAGTCTTTTATAGTGGAAATGCTTTATAGAGTAGTGTTTCTCAAAGTGTGGCTTCTATTTGCACATGTACACACAATATCAAGGCTATAGCAAAACCTGTTTGTTACTCCTGTTTCATTGTCTGTCATAGTGTCTAAACAAAAATGTCTGCCTTAATAAAGAGACACTTGTGCTTTGGAGGTTGACAGGGAATGGACACTGGGCTGTTTACAGGGTTGTGAATGGACATTGAGTTATTGTCAGGGAAGGGATATTGAGTCGTTGAAAGGGAATTGACATTGAGTTGTACACAAGAAATGGACATTGAATTATTGACAGGGAATGGACATTGAGCTGTAGACTGTGAATGGACATTGAGTGGTAGACTGAGAATGGACATTGATTTATTGTCAGGAAATGGACATTGAGTGGTAGATGTGAATGGACATTGAGTTGTAGACTGTGAATGGCAATCAAATTATTGTAATGGAATGGACAATGAGTTGACAGGGAATGGACATTGAGTTGTAGACAGGGAATGGACACTGAGTTGTTGACTGTTGACAGAGAATGGACTTTAAGTTGTTGACTGTTGACAATGAATAGACATTGAGATGTAGTTTTTTTTTCAGTGAATGGACATTGAGTTGTAGACTATCCACAATGTATAGAAAGGGTGGGGGGGGGGGGGGGGGGGGGTGTATATTGTTGACAATGTATGAGCATGAGGATGAAGAATTTTAAAATGAAATACCTAAAACCTTTAGAGGAAAGGTGACTTATGTATGCCTAATCCCCACCTACTGTAAATGTGATTTCTGAATCATATACTCTCTATCCTAACCTGTCTCTGTGCAGGTAAGTTCTAATGCCAGTGTTGCAAACCCTGCTGGTTTTTTAGGGGAAAAGAGAAACTAGGATCAGAGTTCCCGTAGAGATGGTACTTGGGCTCTGGGTCCAGATACACGTCTCTACACATTTACTATTATAATATGACTGTGGATCTGGCCCAGGGGATCCACATTGCGAGAAGCTATGGGGGACCGGTGGCGACCTTAAATGCACAATCCTATTTTTTACCCAGACGGGACTCAATGTTTAGCATGACTGATGTCGAACGCTGAAGAAGAAGAAAACTACTATAAATAAAAGTGTGTTTGAGAACTTGGAAATCTGAATGCTAATATAATAGACAAGAGTTGAAAAAAACTGTCTTTCAGAGGACATGCAACAAACAATCCATCAACTACAAAGACTCTGTTTCAGTAGCTCTGTTCTGCATATATTGACTCCATCACCCTATGAGTTCCAGCTGATCTATGGCTAGCACCATATATCTCATATAACTGAAGGCATGGGAGAGAGCCCTTTGGTTTGCTTATTTACTTACTTTAGTAGCTTTGGTTTTCTTCTGTTGCATTTCTTTTTCCCAGTAGAGCAGAGGCTTATGCTTTTGAGCAGTATCATGTCTGATCTTTTTACTGCCTTGTCCCAGATTCTAGGGGATTCATCCCAAATGCTTGTAACCTTCTGCCAGTAGTCTTCAGTTGTCACCTCATCTACACACTGTTGAAGGAGCAGATACTCATTAGGACCTGTGTCCATAGATGGTTCTTTATGTTCTTTATTTCAGAGGCATTCTATATTGTATTCAATTAAAAGGTGATTACAGTTATGAAGATTGACTTCATTAATTCAGGCATCATCCCATCTAACTAGAAGTCTCTCTCTCTTCTTCTTCATTTTTAAAAAAAATTTATTTATTTAAAAAAATATTTTCATTTAGTCCTCTCATTTGTTTTGTTTCATTTAACCCTTCATGTCCATATTTTCTCCTGGTATATATTTCAGTTTCCATGTTGAAAGTGGTTGTTTATAAAGCATTATTGTCTTTACCACTGAGCTTCACAGTTTGTCTTACTGAGTACTCAACTGATAGAGACTTTGGTCGAAATATTCATTTTATTAGTGTATATCTTTTCCAATTCCCTCTTTGAGCTTTCTAGTCAAAGTTTGTGTTGTGTTTAGAATTGATTAATATCAGCTTGAGCGGCGTCTGTGGCTAAGGCGTTGCGAGTCTGACTCGTAATCCAACGTACCGCGATCGAAACCTGCGTGGGCTGCGTGGATTTTTATCGTGGTATGGGACGTCGCAGGTCGACCCAGCCTCAAATGGGTACCAGGGTGGGCTGTCCTGGGAAAGTAAAGACGGCCGGCGTAATGCTGACCACATTACCCACCGAGTGCCGATTGGTCTGTAAAAATATGGGTGCTCTTCCCATATGCCCGATGCGCCTAAGGGCGTGTAAAAGGATCTTTACTTTCTTTTTTACTTAATATCAGCTTGACAACATTCACTCCTATTTAGATCAGCAGAGGAGCTTTTGTGTTGATTTCCATGATTATTAAATGCCTTATACATCTCTTGCATATCAAGTAAATTTTATTTATCAGCAGATCCCGATCTGAATCTGCATCTGTACCCTGTCTTCATGCAGGGATGATCTAAGTGTAAATGTTTTGCAAATATATTATCATTTGGATTTTCCCTATTGTTGTCTGATAATATATCAATGTTGCCTAATGTATTCTATACTTTAATGTGGGAAATGATTACATGTTGATTAGTAATTAGTAAACATTCTTCCTCTTTGGTTATTACTGCAAGCAAGTCTGTGTTCCTCCAGATCTCTTGATAATCAATTTTTTTAGTCCTTTCTTAACATTTAGGTCACCTTTCAAAAACAAGATATTGCCATTTCTTTGATTTTATATATCAGCTAAGGAGGAATTTTACAAGTAATTTCAAAGTAATATATATATTTATATATATATATTACTGGGTAATATATATATTTATATATATTACTTTGAAGTTACTTGTAAAATGCCTCCTTAGCTGATTTATCCTTATAGTTTTTAGGTGAGCAACACTAAATCACATTCATATTTATCTTTTTGTGGGGGTTGTGAATACTCTTGAACTCACTGCTTCCTACTTGAGTGTTGCTTGCTCTGTCCATCTGAGAAGTATTATGGCTGACTACTTCTTTCATTGTTAGGTGTTTTTGCCTCTGTAAAGCCTGAGATCAGTGCATGTTTCACTGTTGTATAGAAACTTGTTGCCTGCTGCAATCAAGCGTGTTTTGTGTAATCCCAAATTGCTAATTGTGTGTCATTTCACATTCCAATTCTTTAAAAACAATTGTTAAAGTGATAGTATAAGTTGTCAGTCCAGATTCTCAATGATTTTTTCCTGCATTTTGTTATATTAAGACTAGGAGAAAATTACAGTTCCTTGCAGTTGGTAGAGTGATCCTTAATCCTTGTTAATAGCATGTTTAATTTTACAGTGAAAGCTCTTAACAGGCCAGATTGGTCCCTCATTTGGTCATTTCTTATGACATGCTTGGCAAATTACAGTAGTACTATTTTTGTTTCCCTTCTACATTCTGTAAGTCGATGCGAACGCTTCGTAATGTGAGGTGCCGGGTTCGATCGCAGCTGCGGGCCATTCACCTTGCGTTGGTTTTGAGAGTGGTATCAGGGGGCCGAGCGTCCAGAAAGCAGTGGCAAACTACTAGATGTAAATTTGCCTAGAAAAACCACACAAACAGCCAGGGTCTGCTGTATCCTGTAAAGGATACGCAACTAATCTTTAAACATCCTGGCAACCTACAGGCCAGTGATATACTGTACCAATAATGATGAATCTTCAAGCCTAATTTTTGCAGTATGTGGCACCACAATTAGACATTACATTTAGTAGTTTTTTTTTTTTTTTTTAACTGTTCAGCTGACTGCATTTATTGCCTAGTTTTTAGTTTTTACTAAATAAGTAGAATAATTGTGTTCACTAACATCAACTCCAAATTTGCAGTTATTTAACCAAAGATCAGCTTAAAGGCCCTAGTCAAGTTGAAATGTACATCCAAGCACTTAAGAGAGGCTGTAGATGTGTGGAATGTAAGACAGTAATGTTTTCTTCTGTGGTAAACATTGCATTTTAACTCTTTGCTTGATTTTATCTATTCCAAATTTGCTTTTAATTTAACTGTTATCTTTTAATTGCTTGCTTGTGAATGTTTGCTTTATTTCCAGTGGCAGATGCCACTGTGTTTCTTTTGGTTTATTCCAGTTAGACCGGATATTAGATAATGAAAATGTGAGCTGAATATTATATAATCAGAATATGAACTGGGTATTACATAATCAGAATATGCACTGGGTATTAGATAATCAGAATATGAACTGGGTATTACATAATCAGAATGTGAACCGGTTATTAGATAATCAGAATATAAACCGGCTATTAGATAATCAGAATATGACTTTGTATTAGATAATCAGAATATGACTTTGTATTAGATAATCAGAATATGAACCGGTTATTAGATAATCAGAATATGAACCGGTTATTAGATAATCAGAATATGAACCGGTTATTAGATAATCAGAATATGAACCGGTTATTAGATAATCAGAATATGAACCGGCTATTAGATAATCAGAATATGAACCGGTTATTAGATAATCAGAATATGACTTTGTATTAGATAATCAGAATATGAACCGGCTATTAGATAATCAGAATGTGAACCGGTTATTAGATAATCAGAATATGACTTTATAATAGATAATCAGAATATGAACCGGCTATTAGATAATCAGAATGTGAACTGGTTATTAGATAATCAGAATGTGAACCGGTTATTAGATAATCAGAATGTGAACCGGTTATTAGATAATCAGAATGTGAACCGGTTATTAGATAATCAGAATGTGAACCGGTTATTAGATAATCAGAATGTGAACCGGTTATTAGATAATCAGAATGTGAACCGGTTATTAGATAATCAGAATGTGACTTTATATTAGATAATCAGAATGTGAACCGGTTATTAGATAATCAGAATGTGAACCGGTTATTAGATAATCAGAATATGAACCGGATATTAGATAATCAGAATATGAACCGGCTATTAGATAATCAGAATGTGAACCAGCTATTAGATAATCAGAATGTGAACCGGTTATTAGATAATCAGAATATGAACCGGATATTAGATAATCAGAATATGAACCGGCTATTAGATAATCAGAATATGAACCGGCTATTAGATAATCAGAATGTGAACCAGCTATTAGATAATCAGAATGTGAACCGGTTATTAGATAATCAGAATATGAACCGGTTATTAGATAATCAGAATGTGAACCGGTTATTAGATAATCAGAATGTGAACCGGTTATTAGATAATCAGAATGTGAACCGGTTATTAGATAATCAGAATGTGAACCGGTTATTAGATAATCAGAATGTGAACCGGTTATTAGATAATCAGAATGTGAACCGGTTATTAGATAATCAGAATGTGAACCGGTTATTAGATAATCAGAATGTGAACCGGTTATTAGATAATCAGAATGTGAACCGGTTATTAGATAATCAGAATGTGAACCGGTTATTAGATAATCAGAATGTGAACCGGTTATTAGATAATCAGAATGTGAACCGGTTATTAGATAATCAGAATGTGAACCGGTTATTAGATAATCAGAATGTGAACCGGTTATTAGATAATCAGAATGTGAACCGGTTATTAGATAATCAGAATGTGAACCGGTTATTAGATAATCAGAATGTGAACCGGTTATTAGATAATCAGAATGTGAACCGGTTATTAGATAATCAGAATGTGACTTTATATTAGATAATCAGAATATGACTTTATATTAGATGATCAGAATATGAACTGGATGCTAGATAATCAAAATAGGAAAATAAGTGAAGGAAACTGTTTAATGTTGTTAATGGTTTCAGTTCTAAAGAATTGTTACTTTAATCTGTTCTGTATGATACAGCTGTCACTTTGAATCATTTATTATTAAGTATATGGTGAGTTTTCTTTCTTTTATTGCTGATTGAGTCAGGAAATAAAAACAAAATCATATTTATGTAAAATAATGAAATTGTCTCAGCAAGCTGTTGTCATAAATAAATATTTAAATTTTTAAATAAAGTCAGAAAACTAATTAGCAGTATAAAAAAAAATATTTGTTATTTCATCTTATCTATTCATAAATGTGAAATTATGGCTTCTTTTTCTTCTTCTTTTCTTCCACCATTTACTTCTGTGAGGTTTGGGGGAGGGGACATTGTACAGGTTGGTGTTCATTTTTTGTTAGGTTGCTCCTTATGGTGTCGCTCCATCTCTTGCGTGGTCTTCTCCTTTCTTTGTGTTCATTATATTTCTTCAGCATGGCTCTCTGTGGCAATTGGTACCAATGCATTCTCATATTCTCTTTCTGGTCTTTTCTGTTCTTCCACAAATCACTGGCATCCTGAAGGTTAATAGACTTCAATGGCTGGGACATATAGAGAGAATGGCAGATAACAGAGAGACAGAAACACAAAAGAGTTGTATGAAAGTAGACTACACGGCAGACTTAAAAATTGGTGGAGAGATAATATTCAGACAGACTTAACAAACACTTGGAGTCACCAACTGGAAAGAGAAAGCCAGTCAAAGAAATGGAGGCAGTTGATATCTGCAACAATGAAATTCAAGAGCTCGGAATTCTGAAGCTCATTTCTTTTTGTTTAGAATGTTGCAGCCTTTCCATGTGGGTTCCAAGGCCTCATTGTACGGGAAACAAAGAAAAGATCCACTGCCTACCCAAAAGCATGTCATAAAAGTCGGCTAATTGGGAACTTCCTTTGAACGTCGGAGAGCATCTGCCTGAGAGGCAAGGAATCAACAGTCTGGATACAAAAGATTCAAATCTGTCAAATGGATGTGCAGACAACACTCAGGTTCTGAGACAGGACTTGAGTCAAGAAGTGAATAAGAACTTTTCACTAGAGTCTACAGCCAGTGAATGTGGAAAAAGAAAAAGAAGAAGGTTTCAGTCTGGGCATGGTTAGCTATGATTCTTCTTCTTCTTCACTTCCTCTTTTACCGCTGTGGGTGTCGAGGGAGATATAAGGTTCTGTTTCTAGCTCTTCTAGCTGCCTCGACCATAGGTACATCGTGCTGTTGTAGAGTTTCTCTGATGTTATCTTTCCATCTTGTTCTTGGTCTACCCCGTGCTCTACGTCCTTCTTCTCTTTCCATGTATGCTTTGTATGGTATGGTGTCACAAGGCATTCTCTCTAAGTGGACAAACCATTTCACTTGCTGTCTTTGTTAGCTATGATTGCCAAATATCATGTGTGCGCTGTGTTCTCATAGTCTTTTGTTTCCTCACTATCCAGTTGCACACATTTGACTTCAGTTTGTTTCCTTGACTCTGAATTTCTGGTTAAGCTTTCCAAGTTAAAAAAAAAAAAAGTAGCTATAGTAGACAAATCTGATGGTAAGTTATCGATGCTTCAGTATGGCCTCATTGGGTCTGCCATGTTTTTTAAACAAGTTTTTTTTTTAAATCTGTGATAATGCACCTTATGTGCTTCTCTGGTTTGAGAGAGGTCTTCATTATTTGTTTATATATACACACTAGTGACTCACAGGGCATTTGATGACTCACAGGGCATTTGATGACTCACAGGGCATTTGATGACTCACAGGGCATTTGATGACTCACAGGGCATTTGATGACTCACAGGGCATTTGATGCTAGACATAATTTTTAGACCAATTAGCACTCAGTGGCTGATGTGGTCTACACTATTCCGGCCACCTTTACTTTCCAGGACTTCACCTCATACCTTTTTTAGGCTGGATCAACCTGGAAGCCAAGGTCAATTTTGTAAACAAAATCTGGATTAGAAGCAAATACCCGACTGGCAAGCATCTAGGCTCTATGCCATTGTGGGTCTCTTTCATTGGTTACAACATGGCCATTTTGCCCTCTGTAATCATGTTCTTGGGGAAAAGATCTCGTGGAAGACCAAGGGAAACCCTACGTAGAACTATCATCAGGGAAGGCTCGCTCATGGGCCACTCAAACATCCAAGACCTACAACAGATTGCAACGAACCGCCATGCATGGAGAGTCATGACCTCTGCCCTATGTGCCGCACTCGACACAAGAGGAAAGACTAACTAGCTAACTAACTAATCATGTTCTTTAGACTGAACTTCTAAAGACTTAACTTACTTACTTACTTACTTACTTAGTCGCTCCTCTTCTACCTTGGGGTGTAGAGGTTTGCCAGAGAGATCGCCAGACGTCTCTATCAGCAGTTTTCTTTCTGGCTTTGTTCCATTCCAGTCCTCTGTCAGTTAGGGACTGTCGGATGTTGTCTTCCCAGCGCACACTGGGTCGTCCCGGAGGTCTGGTTCCCTGGTTCTTAGCCTCCCATGCTTGCCATGGTGGCCGATTTTCTCCCATTCTGCATACATGTCCAAACCATCGTAACTGTGACTGATCTACTCGGGTTACTAAGGGCTGGGTATCAAGATCTTGACGTATTGTCTGATTGCGGACTTTGTCCCTTCTTGTCACTTGGACCACCTTTCTCAGGTATCTCATTTCCGAGGCCTGCAGCTGGCTTCTGTGAGCTGTTGTCATTGCCCATGACTCACACCCATAGGTCAGGACTGGTACATAGGTAGAGCGGTAAACATCCATTTTAACCTCTTGCCAATTTCTCTTTTGCTAAGAAACCCTCGGTTTATGGCCTGGAAGAGTCTCCCAGCAGCTGCTTTTCGTGTAGCCAGCTCAGTCTTAATGCCTCCATTTTGGTCTAATACAACTCCAAGGTATTTGAACTGGTTAACCTGCTCCAACGCATACTGTCCCATCATGATCTGGTGTTTCTTCTCCTCTCTTGAGATCACCATGGTTTTAGTTTTGGAGACACTGATGGTCATCCCTTTCTTTTCAAGCTATTCCTTCCAGACAAGTAAGTTGGACTGAAGGTGTGCCTCTGATTTAGCTATCAGGGCCACATCGTCTGCAAAAGCCAGCTCTGATATACAGATTGGTCTCATCTTCCAGTACCCTACAGAGTACTTCTT